TCACCTTCAAAAAATAAGTCCTTTTTTTTTTGAGACAGAGTTTCTCTCTGGTCACCCAGGCTGAAGTGCAATGGCACAATCTCCGCTCACTGCTACCTCCACCTCCTGGGTTCAAGCAGTTCTCCAGCCTCAGCCTCCCGAGTAGCTGGAATTATAGGCACCTGCCACCATGCCCAGCTAATTTTTGTATTTTTATGGGGTTTCACCATGTTGGCCAGGCTGATCTTGAACTCATGACCTCAGGTGATCTGCCCGCCTCGGCCTCCCAAAGTGCTGGGATTACAGGTGTGAGCCACTGCACCCGGCCAGCTCATTTCTTTATAGTGCTGCATAATATTCCACTGTCTGGATGTACCATAGTTTATTTATCCATTCACCCATTGAAGGACATCTTGGTTCCTTTCCAGTTTTGGTAATTATGAATAAGCTGCTATAAACATCCATGTGCAGATTTTTGTGTGGACATGTTTTACTTATACCCAATTCTTACTCAGCTCCTTTGGGTAAGAGTATGTTTAATTTTGTAAGAGACAGCAAACTGTCTTCAAGAGTGGCTGTTCCATTTTGCAATGAATGAGAGTTCCTGTTGCTCTATAAAAAGCCACTGTTTGAAAGAGCTGGCCGGACAAGGTGGCTCAAGCTGTAATCCTAGCACCTTGGGAGGCTGAGGTTGGAGGATTGCTTGAGCCCGGGAGTTCAATATCAGACTGGGCAACATGGCGAAACCCTGTCTACAAAAATTACAAAAATTAGCCAGGCATGGTGGTGCATGCCTGTAGTCCTAGCTATTGGGGATGCTGAGGTGGGAGGATTGCTTGAGCCTGGGGAAGCAGAGGTTGGAGTGAGCCAAGATCATACTACTGTATGGGTAACAGAGCGAGACCCTGTAACAGAGCGAGACCCTGTCTCAAATAAAAATAAAAATAAACCAAAATGGTAACAGTGATTATATTTGGATGGTAGGATGATGGGTGATTATTTGTTTTTCCTCCTTTTCCTCCCCGCACTCGTTTTCTTATCTCCCTCTCTCTCTCTGGTGAGGGGAGTGTCTTTTTTCCCATGTACTTTAACAAATGACTATGTATAATTTTTTTTTTTTGAGACCGAATTTCACTCTTGTTACCCAGGCTGGAGTGCAATGATGAGATCTTGGCTCACCACAACCTACACTTCCCAGTTTCAAGCGATTCTCCTGTCTCAGTCTCCCGAGTAGCTGGGATTACAGGCATGTGCCACCACGTCCGGCTAAATCTGTATTTTTAGTAGAGATGGGGTTCTCCATGTTTGTCAGACTGATCTCAAACTCCCAACCTCAGGTGATCCACCCGCCTTGGCCTCCCAAAGTGCTAGGATTACATGTGTGAGCCACCACACCCGGCTATGTATAATTTTTATAGTCAGAAAAAAGATACTTTTATTTTTAAGGAGTCATATGTATTTATATGAACCCTCATACATACAAGCACTGTAATTAGAAGAGTAAGTACAGTACTGTAATTGTAATAGTTTTGTTTGCCCAATGCACAGTGAGTCAGCATACAGAGACACCCGGCTGCAGCAAAGAAAGAGTTTAACAATCACAGGGCATCTGAACGAGGAGATGGGAAGAAGCCTCAAATCCACCTCCCTGAGAGGTTTGGGGGACAGGGTTTTTTAAGTCCTCTGGACAGGGACTGTAGTGTGGGGATTGATGATTGGTCAAGAAGTGAAGGGCGAAGTCATGAGACAGGGAGACTAAGAAACCTCATTCTTGTGCTGAGTGGGTTCCTTGGTGGGGTATGTCAGAATTCAGAATCTGAAAAACAAACAGTTCTTGAGCAGAAAGATCTTATGAGTCTAGCGTCAGAAATTCTTACTCATGGTAAGAACCGTGGGGAAACAGGTAGCAGGTAGTCTAGCATGCTGGGTGACGTTCTGTGAGTTAGCAGCTGCAGGGAAGTGGGTCAAAGTACACTTGTGCACCCTAGATAATAGCTAACTATATATAACGCTGTCTTAAAGCCTGGCTTGTAACTCTCCTTAATCCTGTGAGGGCAGTTTCAATTCTGTATTTGCTTAAAAAGATTAAGGTGGCTGGGCGCGGTGGTTCATGCCTGTAATCCCAGCACTTTGGGAGGCCGAGGTGGGTGGATCAGTTGAGTTCAGGAGTTCAAGACCAGCCTAGCCAACATGGTGAAACCCCGTCTCTACTAAAAATACAAAAATTAGCTGGGCGCAGTGGTGCGTGCCTGTAATCCCAGCTACTTGAGAGGCTGAGGCAGGAGAATTGCTTGAACCAGGGAGGCGGAGATTGCAGTGAGCGGAGGTTGCAGTGAGCTGAGATGGTGCCACTGCACTCCAGCCTGGGCGACAGAGTGAGACCCCGTGTCAAAAAAAAAAAAAAAAGATTAAGGTGTGGGAGTGGGACAGACCCAGACTACTTAATATTTTTCTGTAAAACAGCAGGGAAAATAGTTTCTAATTCACTGGACGTGACGGTCCTGCAGGTAAAATTCTTTTTCTTATTTATTTAGTCAATTCTAGCAGTACCTTCTAACTTTGTTTGTTTGTTTGAGACAGGGTCTCACTTTGTAGCCCAGGCTGGAGTGCAGTGGTGTGATCACGGCTCTCTGCA